ACTTTTGTTAACAAACATAATAATAAAAAATGTTCATTGTAGTAAACGAAATATTAATTTGATCTAAGTAAGTTTTTTTCTTCCCGATTTGTAAAAAATCCTTACGTGATAGAAAAAAAAGATTATTATTTTCCAAGTTTGCGTAACTGAATTATGGAAAATCCGTTATTAACACCGAAACAACTTTTATGAAACTTAAATTCGCAGACCTGTATTATTTATTCTAAAGCAAGTGTAAATATTGCCGTTATATGCGTCACGTGATTTGCTTCTTTGTCATTTGTATCTAACGTTGCTATTTTGTAAGTTCATTGTAAGCTGGCCAGGCGTGGTTAAGTGGTCAGCGTGCCGAGTTGTTAATCGAATAGTCCCAAGTTCGAACCGTGATTCTGTTGAGCACTCTTCGCCTTATAAAAGTAAAAAGAGACAGTCAGACCCGTTATTCGATTCAAAGAGCTGGACAAAGCCTCTTTGGTCAGTAATCCAAAATTAGGGACAGCAAAACGTGAAACCCCAGTGGCGTTTAACCTGATCGTTTAGCCCACGTGTTGCATAAGGTGCTTTTCAAGATGAAAAGTTCCAATCCATTGTTAACTAAAATAAATACATACCCCATACATATGTAAACAATTACAGTCATATTTATTGTTGTAATTGAAATAACATTGAACAGTATTATTATGAAATATTTCGTAAAATATTATAATTTTAAATGTTACTGCATTCTTAAAAACAATCTAATGTTTTAATACTGACGATCTGTAACCGCGCTCAGCGTGTTTATGTATTCTTTCGGAAAATCTCTTAACGATTATTACATTTACTAAGAAAATCTGCCCTTAATTTTGTCCTAGCTGTCATTAATTTTGAAGTGACAGACTAAAAGGAAAGCATCTAGTCAAACAGTACCCACCGTCAGCACTTGGGCTACTCTTTACGGATGAAGAGTGGGGTTGACTGTCACACACACTATAACGCCTTCACGGCTGAAAGGACGAGGATGTTCGGCGACAGGTATCGATCTTATGACCTAAAGTTTTGCTAGTCGAGCGCCCTAACTACCAGACCGCGTCAGACGCCTAGTTCATTCCCCTCCCTCCGCACACATGTGGTAACAGGCTTGAAATAATTTGAGAAAGATTTTTTAATCAATATTATAACACTGTTAAAGTTATTATAAAGTCCCATTCTTGTTTGTAACACAGGTTGACTGGCTTTGTTTTAATGCAAGGCTGCCTATTGAGCTATCCGCATTCTGTTCGCCACGGAGATTTAACCCTTATTCTACAGTAAAAGGCACTTATGCTTATGCCTACCGCTAAGTCACTGAAGTACGCTTAACACAGAAGTTAATTTTATTTCACTTATTTATTTCTTATTAAGCGCAAAGCTACACAATGGGCTATCTGTGGTAAGCCCACAACAAGTACCGAGGACCAGACTTACCACTGAGCCACTGGGTAGCTTTATTTCACTTCCGTGTCTTAAAACTTTATCAAAATGTACAAAAATGCTCATTGAATAGATTAGGATTCAGTTAGACCTTAGTCTACCTTTATATTTCGAAAAGGCTATGCAATTTTTAATGAAATATCCTAGTCGTTAAATGAAATACTAGTGTACCTTACAGAATTAGAGCTAACAAAACTTGTTTATTATATTTGTATCAGAATTTTCGCGCAAAGCTACACAGAGGGCGATCTAAGCATAACTGTTCTTAATTTTGAATTAAAGGGTTTTTGTCAAACGCAAAGCTATACCAAGATATCTGTGTGGTGCCAGCCACGGGTATATAAACCCGGTTTTTAGCGTTATAATCCAGGAAACTGTCTTAAATCTTCCTAGCAGTATAGACAAAATTAAATTTTACTACCTCCAGACCAATTAAAAGAGATGGAAACAAAAGGACAATTCAAGACATTTGACATGAATTAAAGATTTGTTGTAACTAGATATATTCAAAAATTACAATACGTAACTATGGAATAATGACAACACAAGTTTTCTGTATCTGTATGGTACTTTTACGTCTCCGTTCGTTATTTGATTTTCCGTAACTTCGTTCCAACGAAACTTTAGCGACACAAGTCCTTTCTTAATAAAACTGGTTTATTCTTTCCGAATACAACTTTACGATACACTTAATTTCAACAGTCGCGCTATAACAAAAGCTATATCTCACGTGGCCAACAATATTTTGTCCGCATACATTCAATTACTCATTACACTGTTGTCCCGTCACGTTGTGACCATCTTATATATACCAGACTACCCCAATCTAGTAAATGCTAGGGCATTCTTGAAGGAACAGGATATTTCTAGAAAACGGGTGGCGTAATACTAGTCACGTGACCTCGCTGACGCAACAGTAAATTAGGTTTCCCAGAAAGTGAAAGCTTAAGCATACTGTTGCGTCAGCGAGGTTACGTGATCAGTGTCACGCCACGTTTTCTAGAAATATCCTGTTCCTTCGTGAATGCCCTAGCATTTACTAGTTTGGGGGTAGGCTGGTATATATAAGATGGTCACAACGTGACGGGACAACAGTGTAATGAGTAATTGAATGTATGCGGACAAAATATTGTTGGCCACGTGAGATATAGCTTTTGTTATAGCGCGACTGTTGAAATTAAGTGTATCGTAAATTTGTATTCGGAAAGAATAAACCAGTTTTACTTAAGAAAGGA